GAAATTGATACAGCAAATGATATGAACGATCAAATGGAATGAACTTCTTGTGGGGGACAATCAGCGACAGAGTTGTAATACGATAATAATATTATGAACAATATATAATATATTAACACGTTCGCTACCAGGGTACTCTGAGAAGAAAATCTTGCACCACAACCCAAGGTGATATTTGTTAGAATATGTATGACCCAATTGACATGGGTCTTCTTAGGATATATTTATAACATAAAAATGTAATTATCTCTTGACCAAGGGCATCTATTTTATTGTTTTTTAGCTCAACAATACTGTTCATTTTCAAATTTATTGCAATACGTTATCATAAACTGATGAAGAACACGCACCACACATCTGCGGCGATGGGCTCGGATATAAGAGTCGGGACGCCGCATATATGCGGCAGTGGTAGCGAACATGTTAATAAAGCTTGTAGCTAATCTGCGAAAATGCTCTCTCTTGTTTGTGCGAGCTGCTTCGTTGTAATTTGGATTTTCGCGCCGATTCTAATATTGCAGCATGTTTTCCGTCCTCTTTTTCGTTTCCATCCCATCGTATCTCTAAGTTCGCAAATGCTTTTTCTTATATTGCTGTTAAACACTGTTACTTCCTTCATCTGTTTACTTATCACTATTTACTTCCTTCATCTGTATGTGTCGTTGATTCTTAAACGTTTTCCGTTCTGCAGGTGCCAAACATATTCTTGAGCTTCCGAGAAATTAATCGTGTTTCTTTGTTTTGTAATTGGGCCTAATTATCAGCTATTAACCCTTTCGCCTCGAGCGCCGGATATATCCGGCATCCGCGCGACGACCGGCGCGTGCTTCCGTACGGTGACGACACTTCGGCGGACTGGACTGCCGAAGCGAAAGGATTAATTGTCGCCCCACCAGAGTTGAATATATTCACTCTACTGATCTCTTAATATAGTGAATAACTCTGCACTTAATAAAAAGAATAATAATAATAATAAAGCAAAGTCTCACATAGCCGCAAGTCAAGATCACATAAGATTCATTAATCTCATTCATTATTGAGATTCATTACAAATCTCACACTCATTAATTAACCAGTGGGACACCAACATCTGTTGTGCCTTGTTCACGATTAATGGCTCGTGTCGACCCACTCGCGAAGTAAGCTCGAGAGTTTCAGCAGGTCGGTCAATGTATATAAAATATAAAAATCGTCAACGGTGTCGCGGTGTCGTTACAACTAATAATTACCTGTACCCTTTCCGACGTTAAGAGCTCGAAGCAAGGCTTAGCTGTGACCGGCGATCGTAGGATATCCTGCGGTGTTTCCAAGTCGCGCGCGTGGCATCGTTTTGGTATCGGAATCCGTGTATCCGTTCGAATCGTTGTTTGTCCGCCGCGAAGTTTATCGGTTTCTCAGCAATTTCTCAAAGTTACCGCCGTTCCGGGCGCCCGTTCCGGCGTGTGCGGCGGCATCATCCCTCCCGTTCGCCAGCTTCCTCCGGTGTCTCACCCTTCCCTTCGCCCCACCGTCGCCAAGCCTTCGAGCCAGCATCGCAAGCCGCCCTCTCTCTTCTCCACGATCCTGCGGAATTCCTTTGGAAACTTTCCGATATTCATATCTGCCCGCTACTACATCAAAAATTCCAAGCTCGCCCCCGCTCTCGCCCGCGAGAGTTCTCTCTCAGTTATAAAGGATTCGCAGCCACTTACAATATCAGCCCCGCCGCCCTTTCCCTGCCACTTCGCCCTCTCCGGCATCCGCCCTCTCCAATCTGCCGCGTCCTTCTCCGCCCTCTCTCCTCTTAATGCCTCTCGCCCGTTCGCCGTCGTCGACGGTCGAAGGGCTCATCTTCGTCCTTTCTTCGGCATTCGCTTTCCTATCCGCGCCGTCCGCCCTCTCTCCACCACCACAGCCGTGGTCATCCTTCCCGGCGCGTTCTCCGCACCGATCTGGATTAACGAGGCAACCCTTTTTCTGCCGACCACTCGGAGGAACCCGGACTACGGCCATCCGGCTCGTTCGTGACTCGCCTCGGAACGAGAGCGGGATTTACCTTTCCGATAGAGAGAGAAAGAGAGGCAGATCCTCCTCCTCTCGTCCTCTGCGGCCTTCACCCTCGTCGGCCGCGCCGCGCGCGGGATGCTTACGTTTCCTTGGCCAAAATCCAATCGGAATCGTCGCGTCGGCGAACAGCTTTGGTTATTGCGTCCCTTACTCGTGTCCGATTATGCGCTGATAACTCGCGCGGATCGCGAGAGTCGGAGATTTGTCCCTCGCGCATTCTCTCTTTTCGTTTCCCTTCTCCCTCGTTCTCTCGTCTACGCACGACCCGACGATTCGTTATTCCTAGAAGATCCCGCCGGTAATACGGGCGGTGGGGAAATATTTTCGCACAAAACCGGCCTCGGACGTTTCCTCCCCGGCAAGAATTTACACCCCGGCCTAATTGGTGAGCTATTTAATATCGAAGCTTAAAGGGTTTTATGGACTTAAGCTTCGAAAGCGTAAGTAAGTAGGTAACGAAACTTTGTTGTTCAATTAATTTCGAGTGGACTTCGCTCGAGCGGTAACTCAGGGCCCGGGATCTGATTATCGAGATACTTCGAATTGCAAACTAAAAAGTTCCGACAAATGAAGGCTCCCGCGCGAATTTTTGCCGAAGCGCCAGCTCGCGCATGTGTGTGCGCACCTCGCAGCGTATAACTACGCCAGAACACGTACGCACTTACACACACACACACACACCTAGTTATAATGAACACGACGAGTAGATGTTACCGTCTCCGCGGAGCGTGTCCTTAATTAATGACCGGCCGTGCCAAGCTCGTCGTTCCGTCGCGGATTAATTCGCTTCGAAGTGTCTACTAATTATCAATAGGTTCACGTTGCGCGCTCGTCACGCCGGCGAAATTCTAGCTGGAGCTGTCCAGCCGCAAATCCGCGTGCACGCATGTGCCTTGCTGGGCGCTCACGCTGCGAGAGCGACACACGTGACAGGGGGGCGGGGGGAGGGGGGGGGGAGCGAGCGCACTCGCGCGAACTCGTTGAGCGCGACCGGTCCTTCGCGGCGCACGGAAACCGATTGCGGTGTAAACGTCACGTTCCAGAGGGCGTCTACAATAGCTCATTAAATTGAATAATCATCGAGGAGCCGCAGGTACGTTGCACCTGCAATTTACTTGGTCATTGCGCGCTAAGCTCGAAAGCTCGCTCGAATCGAATCGCGCGGCTGCACGTCCGTTTGTCGCTCACCTCGCACCACTAGCGTCCTTTCTCGCGAATCAACGGTAACGTTTAGCTCACCAGATGGAGAAGAGGCTGCGGAAGGTATCGATAATCGCTTTTTTATCCCAGCTGTTTGTAGATATTAAATATTATAGAATAGGTAGACACAAAATGGAAAATTTTTAACATATTTCAGAAAAGAATACCTTTAACCCTTTGCACTCGAGGGCTCCGGAGCGGAGCCATTTAAAATTTGTCTTCAAACTCTTCAAACTTAAATGCAAATAGCAAGAGCAGAATATCCTATACACAATAGTTTTTACGATTTGTCTATGTCCTTATGCATTGTCTTTATAGCGGAGCCCTCGAGTTTGAAGACAAATTTTAAATGGCTCCGCTCCGGAGCCTTCGAGTGCAAAGGGTTAACATATATTTCAAATATTCATGCACTCAAATAGATATTTTCAACGTAAGGCATAAAATCATAAGCATAAAAGAAGCAGAGTAATATGTATTTCTACCGAAATATATGAGATTTCGTTGTGGTTTCCTCAATTTTCGAATAATCGACAGTCATAACATTCGAATATAACCTGGTTTTTCATTTTCTGATTAATTTGTGGTTTAGGTTTAACTTGATAGTAATGTAAAAATTTTGTTTTTCTATTCATGGTTAATTAAATTTTAAGAGCTGCCATGATCAAAATCATCAGTTTATTGATTAATCATGGATAGAAAAACACAATTTTTGCATTATCATCAGTTCAAGTTTAAATCACAAGTTAATTAGAAAATGAAGTCCCAGCCTATGTGGACATAATATGTAATATTGAAAAATTTCGATGACTTTAGGCTCTTTTAATAAATGCCAGCGTGCGTATTTTTGGTAGTCCTTAGAAATTTACTCGTAATCTGTCGATATAATTAGGTTGGTTAATTTTTAATTCTACACGCGTGTAATGTTTTATCTTTCTCCTTTGGTACAACGTATGTAAATTGAAAAATTAATTATATTAATATTGAGAGAAAATGAGAGAGAGAGAGAGAGAGAGAGAGAGAGAGAGAGAGAGAGAGAGAGAAATCGAAGTGAAGGGATAAATTTATCTCTTGTGACATAATAGGAATATAAAAAAGTGAATTAGAGTGTAAGCGTGAGTTGAGTTCGTCTAAAGGTAAAAACGCGCCGTTCATTACATCTTAGTGTATATATTAAATGTAAAAACTCACACGTTGAAAAGAAGCGTATTAGAGAAACTATATGGAAATCTATTAGCATAATTTTGCGCCGGTTTGTTAAAACTCGCGTGAACGTAACGAGTGACAATCGGCAAACACGACAAAAATAGAAACGTCGGGCTAATATCATTTTGAAGTGTGGAGATTAGCTTCTTTTTTTTTCCTTTTCGCTTTTCATCGAAGGACTTTTATTCGTATGCAAGGAATATGAAATTTCGCGTTACCACGGCGCATAATCGTCCCTATTAAAATATGCGACGCGGAGTCACGTTCCAATTAATTCTCATAATAGACATTAATTAGTCCCCGCAATTACGAGAGTCATATTCGAAATTGTAATCCTGATCGAAATTGAATACGCCGGGCGTGCGTGAGTATGCGTACGCAGCCGATATTAGCATCTCTATGATATAAATTGTTTGTACAATTAAAAGTTCCATCGCCGATACGTACCGCAATCGAAAGGGTGTAGTTCTCGTGACCAATAGCCTCAATATGCAACATTATGATTTAATTACATAACGCCGAGAACCTCGAGAAACGATACGTTCCTTTTTCTTTTTTCAGTTCCGTTGCGTTTACAGGTTTATTCATCTCGAACGTCGCGAGACGTACGTGTTCCATATTCGCGATATCCTGCGAATTTATTATTTATGCTAATATGACAATACTTTTCGACGTTAAATAACTGTTCAAATTATGAATCCGATTTCGGCTCGTATTCGAGGGGGCCAGTAACTATGTATCTATTAACCCTTTTAATGCCGAGCAAAAGTATCGTACCTATGCGAAAAATACCGAGTCAATGTGACGAATTTGCTAAGGTTTAGGAAAAAGCTCATAGAAACCAAACTAAAAATGATATTTACAAAATTCAAAAAGCAGCATATTACGAAATAAAGAAAGAATAAAGTAATGCCAATTGTATTTCAATATTTGTTGAAAATCATACGAATAACATCAATATAAAACATGATGAAAAACATAGAAACAAGTTTCTCTTCTACAAACAATATTTGCACATAAGAATAATCATCGTTTGATCACAGTTTTATGTAGATCACGTAGTATGAAGTATAAGTATTACATTTTCAATGATTTTTAACAAAATAACTAATATCGGGCCTGAGAACGAAACTGTCTCGTGTCGAGTTTCTACCTTATCGCTCCAGTGTGTACAGAGCCTCGGCATCAACCAGCATAGAATATAACAAAAAGTTAAACCCAAAAACAATTTTTTAAATTCTTTTGCAATGAAATTAGACCGTTTATAACGTTTCATAAATTTATTTTGAGATAGAGCTTTCTCGCAATGCGAATAGTAAGACGCCCTCGGATACGCGACGATATATCGTCGTTGGCACTTTTCGCGAGTGTTGCGAACGACGATATATCGTCGTTCGGCCCTAAAAAAGTTAACGTGAACATTATCAATATTATATCATGCGAATCAAATATTATATTTTTGTACTTACGTTACCTTACCTCGTATCCGTTAAAAATGCTCGCCACCTAATACTAATAGAGACATAATAACCGTATCGATTCACCTGTTCGACCTAAAAAGGAAAATAAAATGAAACATAAAAGATGTATGTACGCTTATGTACGATACATGCGATGACATTTCGTCGCGTTAGAATTTTGAAAATTATTTTTCGTTTATATTGAAGCTCTCCACTTTTTCCTCGTCAATAACGCCACCAGCAGAATCGACATCGCGCCGTAATGCCATTTCGGCGTCTCTAGTAGCTCATTAAATCGAATAATTATCAGCCATAATCGCATTGGCGTTTACACGGCTACCACATTGTTGTATGCCTATACTCGCGTCCGCACACCTCGGAATTTTGATCGACTGGTAAATGGATCCCTTGACGACTGTGAATTATTTATTCCCTACACGCGATTAACGTCATGTAATCAACGATAACATAATGAACATATTGCCTGGTGTTTGTAATGACGTAGTAATACCATTGCACCTCTCTGCCTCTCTCTGCCTCTCTCACCCTCTCTTTCTTTCTCTAGCTTGTGCACGCGTGCTATTGATTATTTCTATCTTCAATCTTCTAGAGAAGCAGTCTTTTCCCGCGCGAGGGCATTGATTCTCCCGATCGGATATTGTGATTCGCGCTAGGCTAATGTCGCGAAATCAATAAAAGAGCGGTGCGGTCGGTTAATTTAAGACGCGTGAATTTAACGCGCCCGTTAATGCAGAATTTCGGGACGAATGCTCCAGTAACGGATAAAACTGCAGACACGTTCGTTCCTTATTTTTCCACCGACGCAATGAGATCTCAGCAATCAAGGGATGATAGCTATAAACGAGAGTGAAGACTACGACGTGTACATTAATCGTCTCTTTATTTGACTATATATATATATATATTTATATATAGTATATATATACCTCCGTTGGCGACAATATTTCGATAAGTCGTGGCATGGCTTGGTACAAGTTGCGTTTCATACTGGTAATATTACGGGGGACAGTAATTAATTACACCGACGCACAGGTATGCATATCAATTAATCGTATGTATATCATGTATATATAACATATGCACGCGCGTGAGATTATTGTACAGTGTGCGATGCGCCGCCGTTACTAAACGTTTTCTCGACTCTTGGTTCGACGGAACCGATGGGGGTTGAAAAAGATAGTTGATGGGGACGAAAAGGGAGGGAAAGGGGACAGAAGTCATGATAATATTCACAATAGTGGAGGAGCGGGGGATAAGTCGCCATTCTGTTTACCTATGTATACACATCGTGCAAAATATATTAAGGTCAGGCCACTCGTACAGAGGACAGTGTTGAGTCGTCCCTCTTAAAGGCTAACCGTTCTTTTCGTGTCGCCGATTCATTTTTTCGTTCGTCGATCCTTTGAGTCGGCGCGATCGTGTCTCAAAGAATCGGTGCGCACAATTTCTCTTACTCTCTTGCTCTCTCGCTTTTTTTTGTTTATTCTCTTCTTCTTTCTCTCTCTCTCTCTCTCTATCTTTCTGTCTACGACTCAATCGCAAAAAGCACTTTTTTACATTGTTCCAGATATGACCAAGCGGACTGTATTCCGAATGATATGTGCATAAGGACGCTCAAAAGTATCGATACTCGGGGCTCACGAAAATATCGGCTACCGATACCTTTTTGGCATATCTAGCTCGATAGCGGCGTCGATATCCGATACTTTTACTTGAACGATGGAGCAAATGGGATTCGGGTATCGGTACTCTTAAACGTTCACCACATGTACGACGCCACGTCTCGTCGATGGATTGGAGCGATTGAAGGTCCACGAGAACGACCAAGGCGCACGGAGGCTCACCGATATGTAAGTAAACATCACGTAAAGCATGCTCGAATCGTCAAATGATATGTTAATTTGTGCGATGCGACAGCGCAATCGCCGGCGCTCCTCGTATCTCAACCCTTTCAACTGTGAATCGAACTTCCTTAGATACGAATTCGAGAGAACGGATCCAAGTCTTGCGTATGCTACATGGAGAAAAAAGTATAATTGGGTTAATCTGACAATGAGTGTATCAAACAAGTTTTGCTTAAAGGAAACGGAAATTTTGCTTCTTAATTAAACCGATAACCCGTTTCTTATGACCACAAATTCTGTTTGTTTCAAGCAAAACTCGCTTGCTTTGTTCATTGTCACATCAACTCAATCAAACTTTTTCTTCCGTGTATCGTATATTTTATTAATCGTGACATCGCGTGTAAAAATCGCGAAACCTAAATCTGTCTGTTTCGTTGAGTAACGAAATGAATTTATTACGACGAGATGTCAGAAGAATTTTATATTTAAAATTTATTTTTCCTCATGGATTTATTCTTTATAAGATGTGCCCGATTGAATTATACGTTAAAGAGACACGTTTAAATTCATCAATGACGCAGTTGAAAGGTTTGGGTTAATTTCGCCGATCTCCGTCTGTGCATCCTCCCGACCGCGTCTTCACATCGCGAATCGATACGAACCGAAATATGGATGCGTTATAATTATTCTCAACTGTCCAATGATAGATTATACAATTTAGCGTTTATACGGTGTACGATACTACTCCTCGACTATCTTGTGTCGTTTCGTCGTCGCGAGGACGATTCACGGGGGGTGGCGAGACAGTCGAATTCATCCTTGTAAAGCGATATGCCAGCGATAACAATCATCAAAACGATAATCAACAATGATAGGTCAACGGAATTCTCGATGATTTGGGAACACGGAGACTCGCGTTATCCGCCGTATAGCGCGTAAAGGCCGATTCGATTACGATTTGATTTTTTATTTCTCTCGTTTGCAAGAAGATAAAATCGCATTTTTAGATATATTTATATATATATATATATATCTTTATATATATATTTATATATGTATATTGCATAACCCTCGTAAAACACCTACGGTCAACAATTCGATAAACCCTATTCCGTAATTTACACAATCTACACATAGAAGTTTTTCCCGCTTTCCGTTAATAATTAGACATCGCGACGTTCTCTCCCGCACGGCACTCACACACGACATACACGTTACACATATACGCGCGCAACACACTCATACGTATACACACACGCACGCGCGCACGCACACACAGGCATGTACACTCACTTATTGTGACTATAACGAGGCCCAATTGCTGTGTAAGTAACGAAACAATCGTGCGAGCTTTGACGGCGGCCAACAAACACTTCGGTCCGTCCTCACGTGACGTTAAACACGAAATTCGCCATCACGATAATGTGACACTAATAGATTACAGTGTCACGACACTCGCGACACTCCTCGGCTCGTATCGCGACGATCGATATATTATTATCGATAGTTGCGCAAGAATTAGTTGCGACGGTCATGCTCAAAATTGTCGCGCGGACGTTTCCGTGATATTCGCTGTATTTACGATACGATTCCCTTTCAGCACGCGAACAAACGTCTCGTACAATTGAAATTAAATCAAAGTGGAACGAGTCCCGGGATAGATGACACCTCGTGGGAGGAGCTGCGCGTGCAATTCGCGATCGTGGCTGCTGCGGGTATAAAATTATCCGTGAATCCTTTATACGGATGACCCGACCTGATCAAGTCAGACACGGGGCTATTGTCGCGTTAATGCTGTTTTCATTTATCCAGTCAAAGTCTCTCATCGCGTCACGGAGACACGCTGAGTGATACGTCACCGGCCGTGAGAGGTACTCGTACCGAAAAAATGTACACACACACACACACACACACACATACGGACATGCACGCACACACAAACACACGTCAGAGGGGAAAAATGGATCTATTAGTTTCCATTACGATGATATTGCGAGATTCTATTTTTATTCCGGACGTTTATTGTGATCGATGATACGACAACGAATATGATACATGATTTAATGTCACGTGAAGAAGGGGACCCGAAGTGACCCAGTTGTCATACCTTGTTACACGTTATTACACCTCTGAGAAAACGCATCGCGCTGGCTGGTAGGCAGGCCGTGCTCGCGCCATTCTTCGTGTGTGCTCACATCGCAAGTATAAAATATTTAACCTCCATACGCGTTAATCGCCCATTTACAACGCGACTGCGAGATGACGTAATTGACAACGCCGTCGGTATAACGAGTGGGTAGCAAAAGTGTCGTCGTTATAAAGCGTCGCGTCCTTTTGTCTACCGGGAGTGTTCATTGTCCCATTTAAATGGACGACTTTTCTGTAAAAGGACCTAAGTGCCTTTATGTCAAAACTGAGAAATAGGATTCTAAAGTTCCCGCTCGGGGGGAAATGTAATAGCATTTCCCGCCATAAGAGTAATTTACAGCGAAGTTATGGAAGTCTCTTAATCTACTTAACGAACCTCGCGGCTATTAGATTTAAAATTTGACTGCTAACGAGTTGATGAACGTTAAAACTCGAAAGTGCGTGTACATTTACGCGGGAAGCAGGTGAGCAGGTGTTTTTCCCGTTGTCCCCGTGTTTTCGCGTAAACATGTCCGAGACTTGCCGAGATGGTTTTACTTCGAGATCGTTAAGAGTGCAGACTCTCGGTGCCGTTTGTAGAAAAGTCGTCAAAATGGAGCAACAATGTGAATAAAGCTTGAGAAAAGCGACGTGGACCCTTGGAAACGCCGATATTGATGAGAGTCGCCTTAAAGAAATTGTCGAATTTCTTCTAAAAAGAACAACGAAGGCGAGCATTTGGCACGTTTTCTAATCGGGATGAGTATAAATTATCTCTCTCTCTCTCTCTCTCACACACTTTCGTTTTCGTCCGCGTGCATGTTGTTGTGACCGAGCCAATATCATGTATCAACAACTTTACCGAGCCGAGTTGTGTTCTCGACAGACCGTGAATTTTCCGAGATTTTACGTGAGCGCGTTGTCAATCATACAACACCGTTTACAAATGAATTCCAGCGTTAATGTAAATATACATGAGACATTTATATGTCGTGTATATAAAATCGAAAACAAAAGTGAAAGCGCAGCGTTCCTGCGATCGCGCGAGGTAAGCCGATTCTATCGTATATACAATTTGATAATATTTCGCAATCAAGATTAAGTTTTACGTCGACATTAATCGACATTTTATGGCTGAGCTATTGGTGAAACCTATTGGTGATTAGTAGATGCAGCAGTCAATTATTTATGAAGCAATGTTTTACGAACAAACGAAACTATATTCCCGACTTTTAGCACGAAACACGCATAGATTCTTCATCGTCCCGAAATTCTTATCGCGATAAGTTACTTCGCGCTTTCGAACGTTACATCTTCTTGGCTTAATATCGGAAACAATAAAACAAAATATTCGCATTACTCGCCGAAAAAGTTAGACGCGTGACACAGCTTGTCTCACTAATGTCGGAATGTCGAGAAGAGAGATGTGTTCCCGTCGCACGTATCCAGATTGATGGTCATTTAATAACGAAATTGTCGATAAAAAGTATTTCGTTACGATTGCTCGCGGCCAATATGTTAATGAAAAAATTTTCAATTACCGTCCTGTCATATGCATTAAAACATTTCTTTTTTCCTTTCGAAGCATGTAATATGCAAACGTCGTGCGAAAGTAGAAGGGAAAAAACTGGGGAGAAATTAAGAAAAGCTCCGTTCTTTCGTCCGGTTTGTACATACGACTTGGAGGCTCGAAGGAAGCGCGTTTCGAAATTGAATTTTGTCCGCAGGATTTTTCGCACGAGATGCATGCACGGACGGAAGAGAGACGGTAGCGCGCTTCTCGATCGTGCGAGATCGGCTGGATTAGACATCGATATCGTGACAGCGACGATCGATCGTGGATTCGCGCCGTTAATTAAACGCGCGCGATTTCTCGCCTTCGCCCGCTCGCTGGACAGTCGCTTTCTCCGACCGTCGGCGCCTCGACGTGAGCGACGTTCGCGTAATTGATTCCACGTGTAACGCCTCGCCTTGCTTCGTCCCGTTCCGCGAGATAACGTTCCGCGCGCGCGTGCGAAAAAAGATCTGCGATTTAATAATTACGTCATTGGCCGGTGACGTCGGCCGCGAGATGCGGCTGCTAACGAGATATCTCGTTATGCCGCAGACGGACAATCGCGGACATTGGGCCGATGACGACGAAATTTCACGATCTTCGGTCTGCCGTTAACGTTTCGTCGATATTCGTTAAGCTGTTAATTTACACGGGCGTTAAACGGAAGAGTGGCCACGTTGGATCGATGCCACGACGAGCGGAAATATGGACGGCTTTTATGGTAGAAGCGGAACCGCCGGTCGTCTCTGTGTCAAAATTGAGAAGCTCCCGTGGCTCGTCCCAAGGAAACGAAAGTAGTATAGCATTCTGTGATAAAACATTTCGAGTGTATGCGAGGGTAAAAATATACACGTATTACGTCAGAGTTGGGGAAAAAGTTACTTTTTAAAAATAAAGCATACGGTGTGTGTTTTGCTGCTAGCTTTTGTCGACAGATTTGTTTAAGCTGCGTACTGTTAAACTGGCAGTGATATTGATTTTTGCTTCACACGCATAATTTATCTTTACAGTTCAAATTTTTCTTTTACCTCTCCGTTTTGCATCTCCTTTCTCTATCACTAACAAGAGAGCTACTTTTTATTCTCCTCACCATCATTTTACTTTGTATATTTAAATATATGTGTATATATATGAAAAATATACATAATATATATAAATAATATATATAGAATAAATAAAATATATAAACATATAATTAAAAAATAAATATATATAATGTTTATATAATATAAATACAAATATATAAATTATATATAAACAGATTTACAGATATATACCACTATGCACCGCACTAATTTCAATAAGTCATATAATACATCTATCTTTCTTGACTAGAAGGAATAAAGAAAAATAATAACGATCTAGGTTTTGAAACTCAGCATGTGAGCACGCATGACAAGCACACGCTCCGTACAAAATTTCTAGCTTCGTATCCAGCATGTCCGGTATCTTGCATGTGATTTAACACGAAAGAAAACATATCATGGGTTACAGACTTAACTCATTATCATCACCTTTTACCCACTGAACAAACGTCGCATATCTTTGCCGTTACTCAAGCTTTGAAAAGCAAGTCGTCACAATTTTTATTATTTTCCATCAAGTTTTGAAGTATATTTTTATTTGACTCGCTGCTATCCATCCTATATAAATATATTCTATCTTTACAAAGTAATATTAAAAGTGACGGTTACATATTCGTTACCGTTGTGTGTAAAATGTAATTGCGTTACCGTTGTCGTTGCTAACGAAGAAAAATAACTTTGTTATGGAGTTATCAGTGAAAAAGAATAATTTACAGCGATAACACGTTATCTCCCAACCCTGCGTGACACATAAAATCTGTTTAACGACATTTGAAACGTCCGCCTGGAAACAGCCAAAACTGCCGTTTGTCTCCTTTGAGAATAAAAGTCGTCCATATTGGTGGCCTTTGAGCGTGTTGACGGCCGATCCGACATCTCGTCGAGTACCGCACGCTATTTTTATGTGTGACACGCGTTACGTTCCATGTGACTTAATTTAACGTGTCGCTTGTTAATACACGGACGCTCTCTCTCTCTCTCTCTCTCTCTTTCTCTCTTTACGGTCTACTCGTACCTCCGTTATTTGCACGTGAAAATTAATATTAGCGTTTGTTGCCTCGCTTTTTAAATAGAATTTTACAAATGCGTTTCCTTCATCATCAAAATGCGAGCCGGCAGGTGTTTAATTACCGCGCCGAGTTGACGTTGATGGAGGCCGCCGCGAATTCCGCATACGTAATTTTAATCCGTCAGTTTATACGGCGCGAACGATATAAATAAACGAGAACGCAGGCGTGTGGTGTCTATTTGGAGGAAACCGGACTGCTGTAAGATTGTTACGCGTAATTAAAACCGTGATATATTATATATACACATACCGTGAGCTATACGTTACGCTCGCGCATTTAATGCTCTCGCGATATTATTTCTTTTTTTTGCTTTTCTTCCTTTTCCCCCTGATGATTTTCGCGTCCGAACTCTCTCGTCGTTCACTCGCGGTGAGTCTCGCGACGTGTCCCGTTCGCGTGGCCGGGATGCCACGTGGTCGTCTAATCAGTCGCTCCCGCGTAGTCGAGGTATCGTCTCTCGTGGCGGTATCGACGCGGAGGTATCGACACCCGCTACGGTGGACGTCGGCTGATTTCGCGGAAGACGCCGGGAACGCGACTCGGCGGGACTATTCCCCGCTGCTTATCTCGCAATCTCCCCCGCAGCCGGGAGAATCGAGCTGTGAGCGAACTAGTTCAGGTTTAGTCGTAGGGCGTGTTACGTCTATCTTACGTCGAAGCGAGCAAGTGGTTCAGCGCGATGCCGATCAGGACGACGCCGACGGCCGGCGGCGCGTTCTCCCTCGACGTGGTCGACGCCGAATTGTCGTCCGCGTCGAACGCCGGCTCCAGGGTCGAGCCCGTTTCCCTCAGGGAGCCTTGATACACGCGGTTCAGTCTGTGATCGCGATCGCCGATCGACTCATCCGCGTCGTCCTCCAATCTCCGGTTGCCGATCTTGGAGTGCTCAGGCAGCTCCATGTCTAGAACACAACAACGGCGGGAAGTATCGTTAATATTTGCGCGGAGAGTCCTCATCAATCGTTGACTCGAGATATCGTCTAATTGTTTCGCTATGGCCAAGTTGAACTCTGCCATCTGTGTCGTCGTACACGTGTAATGGATTACAGCAACGCGACCGGTGCCTGTTGTTCTGTACACTGTATGTAATTCGTTGTACAGCAGATTCCATCAATAATACTCCATTCTCTAGGCATAGTCATTATTTTTCTGACATTGAAATCTTTTTTTAATTACTTTCGAATTCGCGCATCACGACTTCTGCTTTGGAAGATCGTTGCTGATTCATCAAATTGTCAACGGTCATGATGTACAAATATTGCTGCTGGAATTGGAAACGTTTGATACCACTATGCCTAGGCAGTGAGACGGTATTAATGGAGTCTGCTGTACGTCATGCGTGTATATATGTGAATTTTCTTTTTTTTAACTAGTTTATTAGTAAATTTCTTATTCGTGATATCAAAAAAAGTGACAAAACCAACGTTGCTTAGCAACGACAGGTCATTCGCTGGCTCTCAATACATATTACAAAAGAAAGCCATTATAGAATGTCGTTTAATATTAAAAAATCATTTAACGAGTCTCTGTCATAGTGGATCGTAATAGCGAAAGAGTTAATAATGGACCTTAAACGTCTACCGTCGACGGTAGATTTACTTGGAAGTGGGTTAGTTCCCCCGAAGAATGGTTATTTCCGATTCTGTTTCTGAATCTTTCATATTCGGGACAAATCGCTATTTTCGGAGTTAAATGGGGGGGGGGGGGGG